AGATTTAGACGTAATCCTACGTTGGACAATTTAATAATTTTTAAGAAACGTCGTTCGGAGTGTCGCCGAAAAATACTAGAAGCACAGAGGAGCTCCTGGAATCAATACGTGTCCACGATTACACCGGACACTACTAGCAAGGAAGTGTGGAAAAAGGTTGGAGCCGTATCAGGTAAAATTGGTTGCAATAGTCTGGCCTTCTTGCGAGATTCAGAGGGACAAATCACAAATAAACCAGAGGATATATCGGATATCATAGCAACCCAATTTTACCAAGTTAGTAGCTCCAAAAATTATGCGGATACATTTCTTCACACTAAACAACATAAAGAATCCATTCCTATTATTTTTGATACTAACGAAAACTTAAATTATAATACTCCGTTTACCTTAGAAGAGTTGAATATCGCTATCCGTAACACCAAGTCATGTTCACCGGGAGAAGACGAAATCCACAACCAGATGTTTCATCACTGTACTCCTGAAATGCAACAAAGTATTAGATTTCTTTAATATTTGTTGGAATGAACATACTTACCCCTCGGAATGGAAACAGGCCGTTGTCATTCCTATACCGAAACCTGGAAAAGATCCGTTGCTGGCACAAAGTTATCGCCCAATTAGTTTAACGTCTTGCTTGGGAAAACTGCTAGAGAAAATGGTTAATGTGCGGCTGCAAACATTTCTTGAAGATAATAATATATACGTACCTTATCAAACGGGTTTTCGGAAGGGACGAGCAACGGCTGACCATTTGGTCAAATTGACCGATAGAATTCTGAGTGCATTTGACAGTGGTGAGCACCTGGTTGCGGTTTTCTTTGATATAAAGGGCGCTTACGACATGACTTGGAGATATGGAATATTGCAGAATATGTATAAATACAATCTTCGAGGGAACTTACCAAAATGTATAGAATCCTTTCTAGAGAACAGAAAGTTTGTTGTAAGAATCGGTGACATCCACTCAAAAGAGTATGTTTTAGAAAATGGTGTGCCGCAGGGGTCAACACTTAGCTGTTCCCTGTTTGGCATCGCCATAAACGAAATAGCTAAAGGTGTTGAGGGGATGATTGATAAATGTTTGTATGTTGATGATTTAATGGTTTGTTGTTCTGGTAAGACGGTCGGTGCAATAACTCGAAGTCTACAAGTGGCCATAAACAAAATCTGTAGTAACGCCAATGCGGTCGGGTTTGTGCTGTCGGAGGAAAAGACAAAGGTTGTCCACTTTTGCCGACTCCGTAGACCGCACTATGATCCTGTGCTACTAATGAATGATCGTGTAATCAGTGTTGTTCAGGAAGTCAAGTTTCTCGGGCTTACCTTTGACAGGGAATTACGGTGGTCAAAGCATTTAAATAATGTTACTGCTACATGTAGAAAATCGCTGAACATCATCAGAGTTCTCGCTCATCATAGGTGGGGAGCTCACCCTAAGACCCTACTGGATATATATAAGGCCCTCATCCTATCAAGGATGGATTATGGATGTGCAGCGTACTCTACGTGTGGCAATAATGCTTTGCTTGGGGAACTTGATAAGATTCAGAACCTGGCTATTCGATATTCTTTGGGAGCATATCCAACAAGTCCAGTTCCATCGCTCTACGTCGAGGCAAATATTCCCCCTCTAGCTCTTCGCCGGAAACAGATTGTTGCAAACTACTATATAAAAGTAAGGTTAGATGATAAACATCCAAATTTTAGATCCCTTACTGATGCGACTACCATTGCTCGTCTATACAGATGTAGATCGTTAGGTGTTAGGGCTAGAGAGGTATTAAACCACCTCCAATTGGAGAATATTGACTTCACGAGTATGTCATCTACTGCACGGCGTGGACTCGTGAAAAGTAAAATCTATGAGCGGTGGAGTGAGCAGTGGTCGGAGTCTGATACGGCTTTGAAAAGGATCAAACCTAGTCTGGATCCGCTATTCTATATCGACGTTAGACGTTTGAACTTGATCAGGCTGTACAGACTCCGTCTGGGGCATACTGCTCTCACTCAGGGGTATTTGTTGGCAGGTGAAGAACGGCCATTATGCGAACAATGTGGTGTTAATTTAACACCACATCACATTATTTCTATTTGTCCGCAGTATATGAATGTACGTGTGATATTTAATATAAACCCGATATGGGAAAATAACTTCAAAAATGAAGAGCAATGTAAAAATACTCTTGCGTTCATCCAACAAATTGGCATTGCAAACCATCTGTGATATTTTTAAATTTTTGTCTTTATGTATATTTGTGTAGTAAATAAGTAAATGTAATCACGCCTGTCTTGTGTTGTGTGTTCAGAAACTGTGATATTATAGTACCTTAGTGTAAGTATAAAGGCTAATGGCCATAGATGCCGAAGCCTCAGGTGGGGTTTTAGTGGGTATACCCAGATAATGGGAGAGTCCCACACTACTCCGGACTTCTATCCGGAGTGTGCGTAATGCATTTCCCCACCTGTCAAAAAAAAAAAAAAAAAAAAAAAAAAAATTAGATAAATATTAATGCTCCTTTGGCTATTGTGGATGTGTACACACGTGCTTGAAATTTACTACTGTGCTATTCTCAAAGGCGAAGTTCGGTAAAGAGCAATTGCTCTTCTCCGCTCTACCACTTAACCTCAAATATGTCTGCTCAAGGAACTATATGCAAAAGAAATATACATATAATCATCAAACATCAAGATAATAAGCGACCCATGTCTAGACCCCTTCTTACATACACATTCTTCTTCATAAGACGTACCTATAATTTTTTTTAACCCAGTAATTACTCCATGAATTGTATTGACCCTATCTGGAAAATAACGCATGTAAGCGAATAAGTACCTATAAATTAAATATCTTTAAAAAATGTACATTTTTTCACTAATATTCTAGATGTGTTACAAAAAATCGTCTAATTCGGGAACAACACAAGATAAATGAGAATTAACGCTTTTTATGCAAATTATATTTCTTTCCGAAGGATGCTACAGGGAAATAATCTCAAATTTGTATCATACTAAAATGTTAGGGGTGTTACAAAATTTCGTCTAATTCGGGAACAACACAAAATAAATGAGAACTAACGCTTTTTACGCAAATTATGTCTCTTTCCGAAGGATGCTACATGGGAATAATCTCAAATTTGTATCACACTAAATTTTAGGAGTGTTACAAAAAACGTCAGAAAAGACGCAAACTTTTAATTCACCCAAAAATAAATCACATTTTCCGTGTGAATTCTATTACCCACTATATTATGGAATTATAATACGTTCTAATGAATCCGGTTTCTATTTGTAAATTAGTCTCGATAAACGCAACAATGCCGCTAATGAATTCAGGCCTGCTGTATGATGTGTTGCCTACTGTACATTTATAAATGGTGAGTGACTTCACTAAACGCTGCAAGTTTTCGTAAAAAATTTCGAATGAATATTTCGCATAAAATTTTTTGTAATTTATGTGAAAGGTTGGTCGATGGCTCTATGGTTTGCTAATGTTTTTTCTGAGGGAGATTTTTAAAATAATTTGTGTTGACGCCATTTTACCTATAAAAGTTCACTTTTTATTGGGAGTGCTCTAAAAAATTGTTTTTCTTAAATATTAAAATTTTGTTCTGTAGCATACATGATTGCTTTGCAGCTCATGTGCACAAACTTATACGGCAATTAGCCTTTGGGCATTGATTATACAGTATACACACAATAATCGATGCTTTGGGTCAACCAAACGCTGGCTAGTTTTCCGGCTACAATAGTTTTCGAAGCACCACCCTGTATGTACGCGCGGGTGCTTTCCTTTGTAAACTAAAATTTTTTATAACTTAAGATTTCAGGGTAGTTTGATAAGAAAATCAGGTTAACAAGTAAATGTTAATGACTGGTTTTAATTCCCTAGTAGAAGCAGAAATGCTTTAGCCCAATAAATGATGTACCACGGGTCCACGGATAATGGATTGCCTCTCAGAAGCCGGGAAAAGCTAAAAATCGGTTGAATTTGTAGCACCTTATTTGTATGCATTAAGCACTTTGCGTAACGATTGCGGCTAGTGGCATCTAACGGAGATTGTATTAACTGTATGATTGACTTTGCAAAACTGCCGTATAGTGTAATTTCGTTGCAAGTGAAGTGAAAACCTGGGTATTTGGAAGCCATTTTATAATATTCGTCTACTGACGGATTTTGTACTTTCAGTTTTAATTGTACACATTTTTAAATTGGCTGTGATTTGGCGGTGTGGTGTGTGTGCGAGTGGGTGAAACCGATAGACCAAAAATAGACATGTCTGTGTATATTTTTTGTTGACATAGAACGTTGCGACTTGATCGTCCTTCGTTCTCGTCAAATAAAAATATTCTCGGTGCTTCAGGCAGTGTTTAGTAGTTACCTGAAGCCCTGGAAGGTGTACAAGTCCTCACGATGGGCAATAATGCCGCAACGGCCAATAAAAAAGTAGATTCCGCGGAGAGTGTCAAGGAATTCCTTGATCAAGCCAAAGAGGATTTTGAGGAGAAATGGAAAAAGAATCCCACAAACACCGCCGCCTTGGACGATTTTGATAGAATTAAAACACTAGGAACGGGATCGTTTGGGCGGGTAATGATAGTTCAACATAAACCTACAAAAGAATATTATGCAATGAAAATTCTCGACAAACAAAAAGTTGTTAAATTAAAACAGGTGGAGCATACTCTAAACGAAAAGCGAATTTTGCAAGCCATCAGTTTTCCATTCCTGGTCAGTCTACGATTTCATTTCAAGGACAATTCAAATCTGTATATGGTTTTGGAGTATGTGCCAGGTGGTGAAATGTTTTCGCACCTGCGAAAGGTCGGTCGATTCTCCGAACCGCACTCTCGGTTTTACGCCGCTCAGATAGTGTTAGCTTTCGAATATTTGCACTACTTAGATCTGATCTATCGCGATCTGAAACCCGAAAATTTACTCATCGATTCGCAAGGTTATCTTAAGGTGACAGATTTCGGTTTTGCCAAACGAGTGAAGGGACGTACCTGGACGCTTTGCGGCACCCCTGAATATTTGGCACCTGAAATTATACTTAGCAAAGGATATAATAAGGCTGTCGACTGGTGGGCGCTGGGAGTCTTGGTGTACGAAATGGCTGCAGGTTATCCACCGTTCTTCGCCGATCAGCCCATTCAGATTTACGAAAAAATTGTTTCGGGAAAAGTTCGGTTTCCCTCGCACTTCGGGTCGGATCTTAAAGATTTGTTACGTAATTTATTACAAGTAGATCTTACAAAGCGTTACGGGAATTTGAAGGCGGGCGTCAACGACATCAAGGGACACAAATGGTTCGCGTCAACGGACTGGATTGCCGTATTTCAAAAGAAGATAGAAGCACCCTTCATCCCAAGATGCAAGGGTCCGGGCGATACTAGTAATTTCGATGATTACGAAGAAGAGGCACTTCGCATTTCGTCTACGGAAAAATGTGCTAAGGAGTTTGCCGAATTTTGAACGTCCCAATGTGTGCGTGTAAGTAGTATCGTTAGAAATGAGATTCGAGCGATTGTCTCCATTTGCTCTTCCAGTATCTGCCCTTTGCTTGCTTGATAGGTCTCCTCTGCAACATATGCTTACTACAGGGATATTTTGAAAAAATAGATATCAGTTAGGAGCTGTTAAGGAATACTCCTCATAAAACGCATGTTTATGTTACAAAAAATGGTAGGTACTACTTTAAAAAATACCAGTTTAATGCATAATGTCCAATTAACATCTCCGCAGATTTCAATTTTAGAAAAATTTAAAAGGGAAAATCAAATTAGACGGAACTTACAAAAAGAAGTTGGGTAGGTTATGTCAAATCCACATCATTTTAGGCCCTTTTATGATCCCACATTACGTATTCAAATATTTTCAACATTTATTGATGGACCTTTCCAAACAATCATCAGTTTTCAGTGTGAAGTGTGACAAGGTAATTTGTAATCTGATGATCAAAATTTTTAAATGTTTTCTCAAGCAAGCTTGAGTGACCTTTAACTTTATATGTTTATCTCGACGTTTATACCTCGGATTATACAGTGTGCAACAAAATATGGGAATGGGAAAAATATAAAATTTGCTCAAGAATAAAGTTATCATAATTTCTAAGAACATAACAAAATGTAATGGAGAAAAGTTGTTCAAAGTTGTGCTCAAATATGTCAGGGTTTCTTATTCAGATTTTTATTATTTTTTGGAAAATTTTTGGTGACTTCCGTAATAGTTACACATTTTTTTTATATTCTGATTCAATACGTACTCAAGTTAGCTTCTTCACCAGCTTCTTCATGTTGAAAAATCATTAAAAGTAGATATTTGATTGGTCTAAAAATATCAATGAATTCAATCGATATCTTTAGACAATGATAAAGTTGACAGATGCTCAAAAAATATATAAATCCGTGTAAATTGTACTGTTGAATTTGAGAACAATTATTCAACAGTAAGTAAATTGGTTGTGGCTAATTTGAGTGATGAATTTTAATCGGAACAATAAAAAAATAGTTTCCGTAAACCTCCCATTAGTAGTAATTTTTCAAGTAATTTTTGTAGATTTAGAAAAAATATAATATCAATTGTTTTTTGTTAGTGCAAATTGTAAATTAATTTTTGAATAAAATAAGAGCAGTTGTACCAGCAGCTGACAAGGTGTATTCTGGTACCTAAGTAGGATCAATAAAACATTGGTATATGTATTATAATTTATCGTAGGTGAGTCAGTATAGGTAAAATATGTAAATAATTAAAGAGGTAAGTATTGTTATTTTTCAGATAATTATTTCATCATCTTTGGTACCATAAAGACACCACAAGTGCCTACAGCCTACTGCGTTTGGAGTAGCAATGCTTTCTTGAATACCACAACTTATCTGGAGGATTTGTCCACTTCAAATGTTTTGTACTAGGACACGTTGCACTCACAAACACGTCTATACTTCGCTTTTTTTCGATAATTCATTATAATTGCCGCTATCACAGACGCAATTGCGATCATCAATAATCCATCCGATATACTTACCAAGTATCTGAATAACACCTATACACTGTGTCCAATATAATCATGTCTATCATTATTGATCTCAAAAACCATAGAAGATACGAAGATAGTCTCGAAGATAGTCAAATTAGGGAAAAGTAGCGCATTTAATTTAATTTTTCTAATTTGATTTAATTTATTACCCTACAAGCTTATCGCTCAATTACAGGACAATTCTAGTAACAATAGTGTAGAGTGTAACTCGCAGTGTAATTATCATGGTTCCGAAGATATGCCAGAAAAACTTAAATTAGCCTATTTTTTTTAAGGTTATTTGAACAGATACAAAAAAAGGAGGGGTGGAACCGGGTGGAACACTCCTAAAAATTGTATTTAAACGTTTCTACACTTACTTAAAATATTACATACATTTACATTTTTAAACGCATTTATTTCATTTAATACAGTGTTCCTGAATATAAATGTAGTACCGAGTGTAGTACTTACACAATCTTTCAGGTTGAAAGTATCACTTATTGATTTTATCGAAGACACTTGATGGTAGATAAACTAATACTCGTACAATTGGCTATGGCAGGTATCATAAAAATCCAATACAACTGAATACCTAACAATCCTTGAGATCTACACGCATCCATAATTTTTACAACACACCTTAAGAGGTTGATTCTGTTCCACCCGAGGTCCCACCAGATCAGCATAGCTTTTAAAACAAATTTTTTGATTCAGCATTTTATTTTTTTATTTACTTTTACTCGAGGTGCCTGCATACAAAATTTCATTTATATATCTTAACAAATAAAAAAATAGATTGCGCAAATACAAAAGTTGGAATGCGCATGCGCAATATTTTTTTTTCATTGCATAGTTGCTTGAAGTTTGAGGAATACATATTTACTGATCCAGAAAACTGGGCATTCATATGCTCATTGTAACAAGAATGATAAAAGATACCCTTTTTTGGAGGTTTTTGATGGTGGTTTTTGGGCTGTAACTTTTTGGCCCGTTAGTCTACGCATCCTTAAGGACTCGCTTAAGGACATGTGTACCATTTTTCAAAGCGACGTTTCTAAACGAAGTTATCGTGCACACGGACAGACAGACAGCAGTACAAAATTATAAAAGATTTCGAGGATCGTTAATAAGTAGGTACAGGGTGTCCCATTTTTGACATATTGGAGATTGTTGGTGGCATAAAAGAGTGTAATATAGGATGTTGTGTGTTCTATTTGCGTTAAACTCTCTGTTAAACTTAAAATGGTAAAATCCAAATTTGAAAATTAGCACTCCCTTAAGACATATGGGGGGAAATAAAAAATTGGCAATTTCAGAATCACCCTATAATTTCTTTTAGTTAAAAATATACAGAAAAATGTTTATTATCAAAGTTTGTTTATGATTGTTGAATTATCTGCCGTTTTCAAAATAAGGGCTGGATAAAAGAGTTATTGGATCTAAATTCTTTTTTAGTGGAACACCCTGTATATTTTCTTCTAAAAAGGTAGCATATTAAATTTTCTTTCCAAAAATGTAACAGTAAAGAAAATAATTATTTATTTAATTTATTTAATACTGGTTCAAAAACATTCAACAGATTTTTCAAAAAATTAAAAAAAAATTTTAAATCGTTTTATTCATTTTTTAATTTTTTAAAATTCTTTTTCAAACTTTTTGAATTGCATTTGAATGTTTTTGGATCCTTTGTACCTACTTGTTCCCTAGTTCCCTAGTGTGCTATTTTTTTTACTGATTTTGAGAACAGCAGATTATTCAGCAGGTACTTGTGTAATAAACATTTCTCATGTCATTTAACTAAAAAACTGTATGGGCATTCTGAAATTGACCATTTTTGGAGTTTCCCTTGTACTATCTTTTAAGCGAGCGAGTGTTTTTAAATTTTGATTATGTCATTTTAAGTTTGACTCAAAAAGAACACATGAGGTCTGTATTAGAAACTTTTATGGCATTAAAAATTCCTATAAATGTCGAATATGGGAAAATGGGTTCAAATTCGTGACTCAGCATTGGGATCCCGCAACGGTGAGAGATACAGTGTAGGTTGAATGGGGGCAAGGTTGCCCCTTTTTGTGGGGAAAAAATTTGAAAATTTTGAAAAATCTTGGAAAATAACTTGAAATACTTATCACCGAAAAACTGAAAATGTTAAATTTCGTTTTCACTTTCCCTAACTTAGATGACCGGAAATGGACGGTTCTGCTTCTGGTCCTCTATCTCATTCTGTAAAAATCCAATATGGCACCCATGATATAAGAAAGTAGCTTCTACATCAAGAGGGTTATGGAACTTCTGATAACAGATTCAGATTCTTCGAATAAAAGTACCCATATACGGTGCTAACGGGAACCGCCCATTTTCGACCGTTTAAGCTAGGGAAAATGAAAACGAAATTTGACATTTTAAGTTTTGCGGTATCTCGGTTACTTTCAAAGATTAAAAAAAATTTCAAATGAGTTTTTTTAGTCACAAAAATGGGCAACTTTGCCCTCATTTAACTTACACCCCTTGCAAAAAAAATTTTCATTGCTACTATTTGAGCTCTCTACAAGGCAGTGTGGAGATACCACGTGTTGTTTCAGAGAAATCATCATCAACTTTACTATTTTATATGGTCCCTGAAAAAGTACACACAGTAGCAGTAGCATTTTTTATTATGAATACGTACGGTACACAAAAAAATTGGAAACTGTTGCAAAGAAATTTATTTATTTATATGTGTTTTGTGTCAATAAACACTAAAGGTTTTTACACTCGTCATTAAAAACAAATATCTAAAATATAATATCACAAATGCCATTGTAAATTTACTGGGTCACCAAATCACTAAAATCGTGTAGCATGTACTCGTTTGTGATTTCAACAGGATGGTGCACCCACTCACGACAATTTGCATGATAGGAATTCTCGCACTATTAGAGCGTTGTGCGTAGGTGCACCATCATGTTGAAACCAAGTTTCCAAGTTTTGTTTTTTTGTATGCCGTACAGAAGGAAAAAATTGCTTATCAAAATCGAAAGCTCATAAAATTTGCTACAAATTTTTTGCGAAAAACTCATCGTTTCCTAGTTACGAGCTGTTGAATGTTTTTAATATTTATTTGAGGTTGGCAATTTTGCTATTGAAATTGAATTGTACCTTGTCAAATACAATGCAGTGCTTATGGCATGCAATGATTTTACCTTGCATTTTCATTCTGCACGTTCTTGGTGAATGAAGAAGGATAGATTATAGTCTAATATGTGAAAAACGCGAGAGTGAGAATTTGTAAAAAGGGATTTTAAAAAAAGAACATATAAAATAGTAAACTGTTACAAAAATCATTGAAAAATAAAGTAGCCTACTTAGCAGAAAGGAAATACATTGTAATAGAATTCCTTTTTGGAACTGGGGCGGGGATGGAATGACATTGCAATCTGAGATACTTGATGACGTTTTATGATTGAGTAGGTTTTCTATTGAATCAAATCAACCACTTTCTGTCAATATGAAGGGAAGCAAATCGGTCATTAATAAACATAAATTGGTAATAAATAAAACAATAAAATTTAAGAAAATGGACCATGGAGATTTGTGGAAAGATCACTACAAAATTTAACGTCCGTTAGAAGAATATTTCCAAATTGATTTCAATAGTTTTTATGTCTTCTGCATGGAGTGAATGCAGGACATTGGTGTTTGCGGGATGAGCAGTTCCAATACAGTGAGAGATAAATGCTAAATGCTTGACCATTTTCAAAATAAAATAAAGCTAATAATAAACTTAAATACTTTATTGGAATGCTTATCATTGTTGTTTGTGATAAATTGAGTGTGGTTTTATTATTTAATGTTCCTTGATTAAACTTACCTTTGTAATACCCTAGTTCTAACAGTTGGTTTCATAATTTAAAATGAAGGCAAATTTATGTTTGTATACTAATCTTTTCATATTTCGTACCCTTTGCTACAAAACGAAATGAAATTAACAGCAGCAAAGCTGGGTATAAATGGGTCCTTGTTTATTTATTGTTTTGCAACATTCTCTTTTAGACCATCTGAAAGTTTCGTTGTGTTCACTACCACCTGTTATAAGATCATGTTACAGTAATAGACTCGTCTCATGTTGACGTAAGTACATAAGTACTTACTCCTCACTTGTGACAGGCCAGTGGATTGCCATGCGCACACCATCAGCATTCGCGCCCAGAAACTAAAAAGGGTTTTGTATACAAAGATATCATCAGATTTGTTGTTGCTAATAGTCAGACACATTACTTATATCAGAAAAACTAAACAAAATTTTTCAATAGATTTACTCAAAATGTAATGTAGCTATTGATAAGTGACAAACAAAACAACGTTGTTGACTGTGATTTTTATTGCCCTTATATAGCCTTTTACAAAAAATACAATGGGCGAACTCTATTTTGTGATTTTTCCATTGTATAATTCTCGTTAGCTATTTTAAATATTTGATTTCAGTTGAACTTTTTATTTGTTTGACCAGACACCATACAGAATTCAAGCATTCCAGTTACATGGCACTGGGATGCTGTACTTAAGCTAGAACACATAGAAATTACAATCTAATCTGACTAATTCATTCATTCAAAAAGCCGTGAAATATATCGATGTCTCTCTCACGGCACGTCTTATTCAATGCCAACAGGGTCCTGGATAGTGGCGATGACGGGGTGCTCACTACAAAGATGGTATCGATTTTCCTTAAGTTAACATGTGGCAAGTTTAATTTTCTGAAGCTATTTTTACACTTACACAAATTAAGATTTATTTTTTTTTATCTAGATTTTTAAATAAGTACGTATAAAAGTGTATAACATGTATATCTTTTTAAAGCGATGCATTAATGAACTATAAACATGGTTTTATTGCTTATTAATTTGTTGCTTAATGGAAATGTAGTTCTTTCCAGTTTATAATTTCAATTATAAATTAAGTAGGTAGGTAAGTATACTTTATTTCAGGAATGATATAATAGCTTCAAATTTATTATGCCGGGACCTTTATGTCACTTACTTTACCTTCAAATAAATTTATGTGGGAGATTATCATGCATAAATAGATTTTAACTGTACAAAAAGGAACCCTGTAGTTAGCATACTGTTAACAGGTGCAGATTTGATGAGTGCAATAGGCATTAACTTAGTCAGTATGCCCTATGTTGTTTTATGTATATAATGTAATATATTCCCTAAGTATACAGTTGTACTGACATTTCATGTTTGTTTGTGTTGCAGGCATTGTAATTATGTTATAGGTAAGTAATGTTGTGAAGCTGAAAATATAAATACATACTCAGTGATTTAACAGGCAGTACTGTGACATACTTTCTGGATGTACTGGGCTTTGATTGAGACTGTATCTCAATTACATATGGGTATAACAGTCTGCACTTTATATGTTTGACACTATCAAAAAATGATTTTGACTTAACGTCCTTGCAAGCATTTGTTTTTTGAATCTTTAGAGTTGAGTGATGTTGACAAAAAATCTTGTTAGGACAGTTTATTTGTTGGGAGGGTTTCTAAGAAACGCACCTATAGTGTATTCATTTTAAGAAGGTAGCGGTAGAAAGCATAGGGAAGCGTTGACCTTCACTGTGATTGGTTCAGTCAGTATTACAATGAAACAAAACGACTGGTGAATTTTGTAAGGGGGTAGTTTATGTTGCTAAACTGCCGCAGTGTCATTAGCTGTTATTGTCAAAGGTTTATTTCTGTTCGCAGTGCTTAATATTTCTACTTGACAATAATTTGGTGCCGTTTTATATTTTTCTTGTGTGTGTTTATCTTCAAACGCAGCGCCATCTACTACCTTCTTATAATGAATGCAGTATAGTAACAGTTTTTAACCTTTACAATTTTGGGTGAAATTGAATTCAGAATGCATAACCAATCTCATGCTAAATCAGGACATGATTTAATCGGAGCTTGAGATGCTTAAAAAATTTTCGTAATAACTATAAGGAAGAGGTACTGAAAAGACAAATTTGGGCTTCCCCGCATTAATCTAATTTTGTATTTGCATGCGGCCTTTTCTTCTCCCCCAACTGCAATGTTTTGGATATTGGAACACCTATCCTATTTCATTTGGATCAATTACAGATAGAGCAATGTTGTGTTTGTTAATCTTTGTGTCTGAAATTATGTGGATTGAAACGTTAAAAAATCATTTCCTTCGAGGTTTTAAGAACGAAAACTAAACTGACTGTAATTTTAACATCTTTGAGTATGTCGACTTTGTGTAAACCAAACTAGATTCGCCCCTCTAATTTTGGCAGAATTGGTGATATATAAGTAGATATAAGATTTTGGTGGGTAAAGGCTCAGTATAGTATTTTTCTACAGATAAATTTCGAAATTTAAATGACACACCCGGCATTTTCGGATTCTATAGACAATTTTACACCTGATTTAATTTTTATTCTAGATAGCCTTGATTGAGGTTGAATAAAAAAGTTAAAAGAATTATTTTTGACCAATCTTGTAGAATTCAAAAATGTTAAAATATACTCGGTGTACCATTTCAATTGTAATACTAATATTTGTGGTCACTTCTGGTTAAACCGTCACTTTGTTTTTACTCATAGCATCACTAATAAAAATGTGAGTCGCTAGTTTGGGTTACGCACTGTATACTGATAAATAATTGTGGTGAATTAAAATTAATAAATCTCCAAATTAATGATACTAGTAACTTTCAACCTGTAAGTATAGTAATTAAAACCAGCATTGAAAGAATTTTTTTGATTTGTTTTGACTGTAAGTTTGATTTTTGTATACCATTTGGGTTATGAATAAGGATTTTCCGAGTTTTTGGCAACAATATTCCCAAATAGTGTGAAAACCTTCCCTTGGCATGTCTCATGCTGACTGAAATCACTGCATTGGATAATCTTTGAAACTTTTTAAATTTTTTGTTGTTGCTGGACTCACTTATGTCACTATCTTGACTCATTTGTCAAACTAACTAGAATCTCTCAAAAATATGAAAATTTGTTTGACTTATGGCCGGTTGCACTGACCAATTTAAGCTAAGTTCCGCTTAAATTTGTCAGTGCAAATGGCCATTATTCTCCCTGCTTATCAGAGAGAGAGTTTCTTTAAAGTTTACTGGCATTTAAAAAGCGAGTTTAATTATTAGTCTTGTTAAAAGAAGTGTGATGAACCTCATAGGTTATTTTCAGTTTCTATTCAATTGTATGAAAATATACTGACCTTTTTACTTAGCAACTTGGTACAGCAGTGTCTAATAATATTTCTGATTCTGTGCACAGTATTTCGCAATTCATTTAATGTCTTTGAATGCATTTATTTGCAAAAAATTCGTTAAGCCGTTTGTGAGTATGAGGCGAAGAGTGCATTTTCAAATTTGGTTTTGGTTGATTTTAATAGTCCTCATGGACCTTTTATGCCTAAACGAGAATACAAGCATGAAATAATTTTTAATTTTTGATCGAATGACACCAATACCAAGTCTGTAAGTGGTGTAGTTACGGAGCGTTTGTGACTCGGACAGACAGACATATCGAGAGCGCAAAAGTGCACTTTTTATTTTTTGAAAGTGAAAGTGCACTACAAATTTAGATATAAAAATAACTTAATCAAATTTAACGAAATACGGACGCCATGCATTCAAAAATACAAAGAAATCTGTCACCTTCCAACACATTCGATCTGCACGTAGTGGAAATACGAAAATATGTGCTCCTTGAAAAAGGTTTTTACTAGGTTTTTGACTTTTCTTTTTATTTGATTGAGAAACTTCCAAATTGTGAGCTTATGTGTGCAAATTCTATTAGAAAGCAACTGTTAACAGACGATAATTCTTGCCCTCGTCTTTATGGAAGATGTTGGCAGAAAGTTATTAAAAACTGGTGACAGGTGTTTCATTAAATGCTTAATTTATTATTTAAAGTTTTAAGTGTGAATCAAATTTAAAAAAGCGTTTTTGGTCGAATATAATATATCCTTTTTTTTTGCAGATCATTTATGTGTTTGCCAGAGTTCATATAAGCTGACAGAATAATTTTAGAAGAAAACAATTGGTCGAATCTTGCGTTGGTAAGGTGTAGAGTAAATTAATTTATTCATACAGTGAATCTCGTAAGAAATTGTTGTATGTAGCGGTTAGTTTGTGTGTGTGTGACAAATATATTAATTGCAGACAGTAAGTAAATATAAGCTAGCCGAAATTGGCCACGGGATGTGCTATATGTTCAGAAATACAGTCAGATTATTTTTATAAGTAGCTATTTTAAGAATATCATACTTCTGAAAGTTGGAAGGGAATTGAAAATAATGAAAGTAATAATATAACTTCACAACATTTTAATAATTAGGTCTTATTATATTTGTGTATTCGAGTATCTGTTACAGTTGGAAATTGCGCAATTTTCAATAATTTGTAATTTGCATGGCATCATATTGACAATTTTATTATGGATTTAACTCGGTATAAAAGTTGGACTTTGAGAGCATATTTTTATTCGTTAAAAGTCAATGACGCTCAATTGTGATTAGAAATAAATGGCCAACAATAAGAAAAACGCTTTGAAAATTAATTTATCCTTGAAGCAAATCGCTTGATACCAAGAAGTTATTTTTTGGCAAAACTGTTTGAGTGGTGCCATGTAAAAGTTCATTTTCTTTGGAAAATGTTTTATTGTATATATTAAGTATATTATTAAATGTGTAAGAAAGTGGAAAATATTCATTTTTAGTTGTACCCAGATTTGAAACAATCTTAAAATGTAACTGACTGCTTTTAGTTTATCGTAAGCGTTGTGATCTGCTTATCTGATAATTGCTCTTATTATAATATTTGTTATGTTAACAATGTACCCATAGGAAGTAGTCTCTTTCCAATTATTTTATTATATTAAATTCCTGCATGATACGTATATTCTCAGCTTGATTATGAATCTATGAATTTTATTAAAGTGCATTCATGTTAAATTCTAAAGTTAATAAGGTGCTCTAAAATAGATTCACAAAAAATACAAATCGTAGTGGTGTATTTATATTTTTTGTGCGCTTACTGAACATTTTAAATACATATTTAGCAACGTGTATAACTGCCACAATGTAGTCTTTAAAAATTGTGAATGTCTCAGTTTGTCCTGTACTGCTAATCGCTTTAAACTTAAAAAAGGTTATTGCTTCATACCAAAGAGATTTTTATTGTGGACTTGTTGCTTTTACTCAATTATGTGAATGGAAAATGCATCCTTAATTGTTTTGAAGAGTTTTAGTTTTGAACAATACAAGTTCTGTGAGGAAAGGATGGATCGTTAATTGTTGAAAAAGCATTTTAGTATTTTATTGGCAAGTTATCAAAGTTAAAGGTCATTGTGAAATTAAGCAATAAATATAATGTAGATCTTCGTAAAATCATTATTGTGAGTTTTATTTATTTTTATACATAAAACTTTTTGGGTTGGCACACATTCTTTTTTTAATTACTTATAGAATATCTGCTGCATATTATACAGTTAATGTAATCTCTTTTACCGTTAGAAAAAAAAGGAGTGACTATCGTAATTCTGTGATCAATAAAGATCACAATGACTTAATATTAATTTAAATCTAATTGTTTAAGAAAGTTTGAAACACCATTTTAGTAATCAAATTTGTGTAATGGTCCATCTACCAATTAGTAGTTGTAGAAAATGGGAAAAATGGGCAGATTAGATAGTTGTATATATTATTTATAAAATGTGTTGTAATGGCTTTGTGTCGATGTGCGTATTTACGTATGGATGAAAAAACTAAGTGATCATGTTTTACCAATCTTCGTTCTTGTCAGTTAAAGAATAAGCAAAATTAGTCCGACTGCAATTGCTTCTAGTGTAATGCATAAGTAAATGTCATTTATTAGCACCCTACTTTATTAGTTACACTACCGTTTTATTGTGAAAATTAGTAATAAGTAATTGTGCTTTAAATTTTCCAAAATTGATCACACATGTATTATTGTACATTACCTTAGATATAGGCCTTACTTGCGAAATTTGTTTAACATATGTAAATCGTACGGGTAGTACATAAAATATTTAAGGTCGTTCAGTCTTTTTTTCTCACAATGTTGTACAAATTTCGCATATTTATGAATAGTCAATTAGTCTTTACGTTAATGTAACCACGTTTTCAGCCAGCCAATATGTATTGTTCTGTTTGTTGTATTTTGTTATTGTATAGTATTTTGTCCTCTACTAATATCATGTATTCAACATGTCATTTTAGAGAAGTTCTTTGAGAACCAGTTTTCAAATGTTGTTTTAAACAATTTAAAAAATAAAGAAGACTATCCTAGTGAGAGCATTTAATTGTATATGATTTCAATGGCTGCAGAATCTGATTAGAAAGTCTAGATGAAGCGATTAGTTAAATTGTAAAATGCTTACGTGAGCACATTTTTGGTTTTTAATCCTAGACCTACCAGATAGTTTTAACATTACAAGTACGGAATGTAGTTGATATTTTATCGTTTTAGAGGTACCAAGGAGCTCGAAAACCTTACCCACAGTAAAGCAACATAAATCACTTTGGTTTTAGTTAAATCATTACACTTGTATCGGGAATGGAAAAGCTGACAAAGTGAAATAACACAAATGGCTTCATAGGATGAAATAGGATGAAATCCTTTTGTACTACCATAATATTGTTTTGTATGGTACTTAAAAATTGAACCAAAGTTGCATCCCTTTTATATTCTTAAATATTAAATAGCGAATAAACGTTTTTATTGTTAGCAGTGCAACGGTTGCTATAGTAGTTTTAGTTTTTGTTGGGGCTGCATGTTGCCTAAATCTATTCACTGGTTGTTTTGAATATAACATTCCAGTTGAAAACCAACTTGGAGAAAACCTCGCCTTGGAAAACATTAAAAGTAATAAAAGTTAAAGCTCTACTCACAAATATAACGAAATTTGTATTTTATTATGGGTGATATACCCAACTGGGCGATTTGTTTGAAGTTTGTATTACAAACAGAAATGTACTTGCACCAAATATGAAGATTGTGTCTCAAAGCAATGTCAAATCAATATTAGTTAATACGTAAATACCTAAGTAACTTTAAACTAAGGTATTTTTGGTTCAGTATGTTTGGCCCTATACTGCCAAGGGCCAAGTCATACTATACCGCCAGTAGGTAGGGCGTGTTAGAGTCGGACACGCTGGCGGCTGGCGCCGAGACAAAACAATACTCAAGTTTAAACCCCTAAAGAGCATCTTAAAAAGCGGCAGAGCACCTCGATGTGACCCTACGGCCTACAGGGTCATTGGATTTAACCCATTTTCAATAGGCTTATTACGTGTGGCATATAGGTCAACTGTTCAAAGTTTGAACCAAATCGGTCCAAGCGTTTGACAGTTATTGTGTTCACGGACAGACGGGCACCATCGACTCCCCTGTAAAGCTTGCATCGCTTTGCTCTGCCGCTTAATAAACCTCTAAAGTGGGTCTAAAAAAGCGGCAGAGCACCTAGGCTTGTTTCTTGTTATATGTGGCATGTAGGTCAACTGTACAAAGTTTGAACCGCATCGGTCCATTCTTTTGGCAGTTACCCAGTCAACATTGTAACGTAACCGATTCATAAATATAATAGTTAACTAGGTGGTTCGTTATGTATCTAGTAACTTAAATGTTACATGCAAGTAACACAAAACGCCTAGCACTGTTATGTAACGGTGTAACGTAACGAATACGTCACGCTATGTAACATACATGTATATATATATGTTACATGAACGTAATAAGTAACACAACGGAATGTTACAACAAATAACCCAGTTATGTATCGTATATACAAACATACATTACATTAGGGTAATATGTAATGCAACTGAAGGTTTAAGCAAATATGTAACATATATGTAACATTACGTTGCATGGGGGTTGTATGTAACGCAACTGAAGGTTACAGTAAATATGGTAGTTACATAACAAATATGTATATCTTAGTATACATGAGAGCCTTATGTAACGCAAACGAAGGCTACAGTAATGTAAAAATAACTAAATGCAGCAGTGAAAAAATAAAGATATATTCTTATAAAATAAAACAAAATAACAATTCCTAAAAATGTAGAATATTATCACAATAGATACATTTCAAATATTCATTAATAATATACAGGGTGTCCCTAAAAGATCTGTACAACGCGCTACCAGGGGTTCTTGGTATCAAAATAGGACGATTTAACCCTACTTACCTCTATCCAAAAGTGCTTCGTTAAGGCGCTATTTGCCGCCAAAGATTCAAAAAACAAATCGTTATTTTTATTTTATCGGAAAATGGTTTTGCCGATTAAAATGAAAGTCGGGATGTGAATGTCTAATGTAAAAAGGGTCTTTGTGATATCATCGTATTGATTGTAGTTGCTATGTAGGTGGTAAAATACTGACCATCCACATCTGAAGAGGTCTAAAACTTTTTAACTACTATTTTGACGGTTCTGAATTTTTAGACACTGATAGACAGTTTACTTGCAAGCATTTTTTGTCTCTTGATGAATATCGCCATCTGTGATGGTTTACGAAAAAAAAATAAATTTAGGCATGATGAATGGCATGCACCATACATGCGATTGTTCCTCAAAAAATCAGAAGATGGCTGTTAAACCTTAGAGTGGCTTAACGTTTGTTTGTTGTTTCTTAAACTTTAACAAATTACGTTTTGCTTGAAGACTTAAAACTTTAAAAAATAACGTACCAATGTTGCAAAGGGCACAGTTTAATTTATTACGCCGTATAATGCTTTGTATGCGTGAAAATGGTGGTCACTTTGAACATTTAGTACGTTTAAATTAATACATTACATTGACTTACTCTGTTGTGTTCGTTTTATTCTACATTACTTGCTTGCACTACGGTTTCATAGCCTACTTCTTGCTTGCACTTATGGTTTTTGAGGAACAATCGCATGTATGGTGCATGCCATTCATCATGCCTAAATTTTTTTTTTTTTCGTAAACCATCACCAATAGCGATATTCATCAAGAGACAAAAAATGCTTGCAAGTAAACTGTCTATCAGTGTCTAAAAATTCAGAGCCGTCAAAAAAGTAGGTAGTTAAAAAGTTTTAGACCTCTTCAGATGTGGATGGTCAGTATTTTACCACCTACATAGCAACTACAATCAATACGATGATATCACAAAGACCCTTTTTACATTAGACATTCACATCCCGACTTTCATTTTAATCGGCAAAACCATTTTCCGATAAAATAAAAATAACGATTTGTTTTTTGAATCTTTGGCGGCAAATAGCGCCTTAACGAAGCACTTTGGGATAGAGGTAAGTAGGGTTAAATCGTCCTATTTTGATACCAAGAACCCCTGGTAGCGCGTTGTACAGACCTTTTAGGGACACCCTGTATAATAAAATTATTGATTTTGGAGAGGTTTTTCTCTTGACTGTCTCAGCGTGCTTAAGTGTAACCACTCACCCACCGTCAATTCAATGGCACTTTCGGTAGTGTCGGGGAAAGTTTGCCGAACGGCATCTGGATAAAAGAAAGTTCTATAAGACAAACTGCGTTTCCACCAAAACAGCTTTCATTATGTAAAAATAGTGTTGCTTACTTAAAATATTATTCATCAATTCCAAATGCTTGAACGGAAAATGATTCCTTTTCCCAAGAAGGGAACAGCTAATCCCCAAATAAAAAAAGGTAGAATATAAATTTATACTTACACAAACACTGAACCAAAACAACACCGACTTATTTCAATATAGCGTCAAAAAGAACTTTATCTTTCGCTTGAGGTTGACTGTTGAGGTTATGTGTCCCGCAGCCGTTAACCTTTACTTTTCACTAGAGGTATATGCGTACTTCTTTTCAGATATACTTCACCTAACGAAATAGGTAATATGAATTAATTGTATTAGAAAATAACGGTTTAACATCAAAAAGAAACATTATTACGTGTTTGGTATAGAACATTCCAACTTCTATGTTACATATCATTTCGATTACAATTGTAACATAACTTTGTTACCTTCTAGAGCCCTTTCAGTTATGTAAGTGATTATTACGTGTTTGGTATAGAACATTCCAACCTCTATGTTACATATCATTTCAGTTACAATTGTTACATAGCTTTGTTACCTTTATGTCAGCCGTTTCTCAACTGACATAATCAATGACTTCACTCGCTAAGCTATTGACAAACTAGTAGAAGGGCTCTAAACATATCATGTTTACTTGGAGTAGGACCTCTATATACAGGTCTCCGATGAACTGTAACTGAGAATGTTACAGCGATGTTGAACAGGAGAACTGAATCAAAATAAGGTCCAATGCCCTTGCCAGAATCATTATCTCAGAGTCACGATCAAAACCAAAATATGATCCAAATTCACATCCAGGAATGAGCCAGAGACAATACAATAACAAGATGCAGATTCGAAGAAAGAGTCAAAAAGTCAAAATTACATCAGGAATAAGTTCCTGGGTAAAAGGCAGAATTAGGGCCATCAAAGATAGTACGCTGAATCAGTATCACAATCGGAATCACAATCCACAATAGATTCCGAATAAGAAGCAGAAAACATGATCGGCGCACTAATTCAAGACCATAATCTAAAGTCAGAACATATAACCAAAATTTCAGAATCATAATCCACATTCAATTTTGAATCAGAATCAGAATCCAATTTCGAATCAGAATCATAACCACACTCACTGTCAATCAGAATTATAATAGGGATTAGGATCAAAACAAGCGTTATGATTAAGTCATTGTCCAGTGCAGGATAAAGATCAGAATCGCATTCGGATCAAGAATCGAAAAGAATCCTTTTATTACTTTGGCTCAGCGTCGACTTTTCATTCTAAGATGGACCTTGATCCTGATCTTAACGTAAATCATGATTTTGGTTATGATTTTTATTGTTGAAGTGATTCCAATTCTGGTTTTAGGTCTGATCGTACTATGACAGTGGTTCTTCTCTAGCTGTTTCTGATTCTGTTCCTGAATCATTTGGCTCCGGACCCCATTTTTGTAAATGGATGTTCTTGTGATTTCGATTTTTGTTTTGATGCGTTTTTTATCGTGAGTCTGAGCCTGGTAAGCAAACGTATCGCATATTGTAAACATCAGATTAATGTGCGCATGCGCACTGCGCAGGCTGCGCAATGTCCACTTTCTTATTTATTAATATATTTTGTTGAAATTTTAACCACAGATATTTCTGGAGAAGGCAAACATATCGCATATAGTACAAATCAGATGTGCGCATGCGCAGACTGCGCAATGGCAACTTTCTTATTTATGGAGGTATTTCTTTGAAATTGTAGCCAAAGTTGCTTTTAGTGTAAGCAAACGTATCGCATATTGTAAACATCAGATTAATGCGCACATGCGCAGGATGCTTAATATCAACTGTTATTTATCGAGATATCTTTTTGAAATTTTAATCATAGATGCTCCTGTTAAAGGCAAACATAACTGATATTCCAAAAATTAGATGTGCGCATGCGCAGTCAGTCCCAAATTTTAACCATAAATGTTTCTAGTAAAGAAAAACATATCACATTAGTAAAAATCGAAAACTACAAATGTCATTAGGAAAAGTAAACATATCGCACATATTAAAAAACAAATCCACGCATGCGCAGACTGCAAAATGCCAACTTTTTTGTTTATGGAGATATTTATTTGAAATTTTAACCATAGATGCCTCTAGTAAAGAAAATCACAGCGCACATAGCTATGGCCTTTTGAGAAGTACTGATCATTCATGGAAAATGCGCTTTAGGGCGAAAACCTTTTTACTTGTTTTAACATTTTGCTACTTTTTTTTAGGAAAACCATCCATCATAGAGGGCCCTAACAGTATGGCGGTTGAAGAAAATAAGAAATCGGTGTTGACCTGCCTCCACGATGTCGACAATGCATCCGAACAATACACCGTGGTCAAATGGAAGAAAGACGGGAAAGTTCTTAAGCACGACTACGACGAGGAGACCACCTCGCACCAACGGATACGAGCGTTCAAGCAAAACGGCACCCTTGTCATTTATTCCACGAAACCGTCCGATCGTGGCGACTACGTTTGCGAGATTACGACGGCGGGATTCGAGCCGCTCGTGTCGAAATCCGCGACAATTTCAGTGATCGGTGAGTTCCTCCACGTCGATCGCCGCCCATGGTTGCAACGCGTGAAATTTCAGAGATACTGAAGTTTTCGCCTCCTCCCGTAAATAAAAAGTTGGAGTTGGGGAGCACGGCGAAAATTCACTGCAAGGCCCAGGGAACGCCGCCGCCGACGATACGCTGGGAGAAGGACGGGAAGGGGGACGGTTTCGACGCGCACATCGCCGACACGAACGGAACTCTCCACTTTAATGGGGTCCTAAGCGAAGATAAAGGCAGATACACGTGCTTCGCGAGTAACACCCAGGGCACTATTAACGTTACGTTAACGATTGATGTTGTCGGTAAGTCGTGGAGTCGGTGGAAGGAGCAATTAATATCTGTTGATTTTTCCGTAGTGGCGCCGAAGTTCACGCTACTCTCCCACAATCCGACGGAGGCGATCGAGGGCTTCTCGGTAATGTTGGACTGCGTGGCCGACGGGGATCCGAAACCGACGATCCACTGGGACAAGAACTTGCAGATGAACGACTTCAATCGTTCTCGCTTTCAAGTTTTGGATAACGGCACACTGTACATTAAAGAGGTGCACAGGGAGGACGAAAATAACTACGGGTGCACGGCTGGAAGCAGTGCCGGTCTGAATCGGAAAGAAATCCGTCTTATTGTCCACAGTATGTACATATTGGCGTAAAACTAGCGCATATATGGGTGCAACACCAAAAACCACAAAAGTGAGAGCAACCATCGGCAAACTCGCACGCATAATAATCATAAACCAGAGATAAACAAAATATATAACATTCATGTAGGCTTTGACAGTTGACATATTTGCACTGGCATAACAAAGATTAACACAAACCCAATATTCAGACACTACATGCCAAGGGTCGACTCAACGCAATGATTAGCAATATCGGCAAGGTGGCTCTTTTCTAAGGCACAAAAAGAACAGTACATAAAATATATATCTCTGCGTATGTCAGTTATGAACTTTAGCGCAGTACATATTCGAAACAAGTCACCCTGCCAAATATTAATAATCATAATCACCCGGTTCAAATAAATAGTAGGAGCATATCGTTAAGTATCACATTACAACAAAGCAAAGGAACATGTCGTGGCAAAATATTAGTATAAAGTAATTAAGTAATTCTCAATGTCAAGTGCAATATGTAACAATCACCCACCTAACGTACGTCACTCGCCCCCAGCTGAAGCACCCTGTAAATAAACAGTAACATATTCATGATGCAAACAAAAGGGAAATGTGCTGCAATAAATTCAATTATAAATGAAAAAGTAGTTTTGCATACTTGTATTGAATATCATCCCTAAGGGAACATACTGTATCTAAATATAAATAAAACACGTAAATCGGTCAGTAATTCATATTGCGGGATGGCAGGCAAAACCAGCGCTTGCAACAAAGGAGTACTGTAAACTGGAAAACAACATATTTATGTAGAAATTTCTTAAAACCTTCACAAACAACTTACAAAGGCAATACCTTGAACACAGAATAATATTATATAAAGAGTTTCAAAGACCCTTAAGAGCTTCGTAAGGCATTCCTTTAAACACTGAGCATGTAAACTAAAGGCTTTAAATTGAGACTGAAGAATATCAAAGGCCTTTTCAGATTAATGGCAACTCTTAAAATACCCTGACCTGCTGAGGAGCCTCCCCCCAGATTGTGATCTCTTTCCAAAGGCAGCCTCACACCAGCAGACAATGTATTCCACTGCGCCTTTTCCTCCTCTAAGCAGAAGTGATATGTGTGATCCCCAACTACCCCACTCAACGGCCCGTGTGCAGTGACCAGGTCTATGTATGACCGATATAGCTTTGTCTCTTGCTGCTTCGTACAGCGTCCCCTTTGGTACCTATGCATGTTGGTTGATGTATTGCCCTATTCTGCCTCATCGTCTCCCTCGTTTTAAAAATGAAGGACGAAACGAAATAGGCTGATATGTCAGTAGCTCTTGGGTTGAACCGTAGCCTACCGATAGATCTAGCCGTGACATTGATTTGGTGACGTCACAACTGGAGATGGGCCACTGCAACGCGATACTATGTGTTTAAATGCAATTTGATTCGCGTGCATACTCATTTAACGCGAAAACATTTAGTAATTACTTATTTTGAGCCGCAGGAATGTTATATGTTGTTTCCTAATTATAGACACGTGTTATTATGCAAAAATTTTATTAAATACGTACATATACAACAAATACTCACTGAAAACCGAGCTGAAAACAAATAAAATTTAAACATTCTAATACACACATCTGCCTTTTTTAGCGTAACAAAACGAAGTTGAGGTACGCTTATGTGCTCGTTATTCCGTCGTCTGCCTATCTGTCTGTTCCATCGAGATCTCAGCCCCTGGACCATCTAGAGACTACAGGTTTTCGGTCATTTGTAGTTGCATAGGTCTATATTTTCCCGTTACTCATCATTTACATCCTTTTCATATATATGATGGCTGATTTTCAAAAATGGTGGGGTACGTGTCTTCGGCAAGTTTAATCTGGCCTCGTGGAACTGTTAATACTGTATCGTCTTATCTAGTCATCTTGTCTACCCGAATAATGAAAATGCTGGGGAAATGCTTTGTACAAACCCTGGAGTAACTAGTAATTTCCAAATTGTCCTGGCGAATACATCTTAACCACTTTTTTTGATCGTCTTCATTTTTCGAAAAACGAAAAACCGTAAGGAACCTTGTCTCTTGAACTATAATTGCTTTTGCAACCAGGGACGCAGCACGTGTTTGGCATTTTCTTACTTATTCTGTTCGAATACAGTTAATTTAAGTGTACAACATTAAACTACTTGGAATTAATTACATTAAAAGTCGATATGACGGCCGCCGTCAGTTGTGACGTCAACGCAATAGTGGGGATGAGTGTCACGGCTAGTTCTATCGGTAGGCTACGGTTGGACCCTGGACTTCTCGCCTATCTTAGGAATGAAAACCGCACCTACCTCCCACCAGTCTTTGATGTGGGGATATAGCCACTGATGTAACATTTGTAATATAGCTTAAGGGGTAGCTATCCCCCTAAAAAGTTGTACTAGGATGGGTGTTAATGTCTCAGTCCCTGTTATAAGGAGAATCGGCCGGCCCATAATTGTATAAAGGTCGTAGAAGTTCAATGACCTCATCTTTTGTGGTGGTCAATTACATTTCTGCTGGTCAATTTCCCATTCTACTGTGGTGTCAAATTACATGTCGGAGATCATCCAACATCCTGATGTCCATCATGAATGATGTCATTTTTATGTGGTGTCTAATTACAATGTCAAGGGTGTACAAGGTGAATGACCCCATTTTTGCGTTACCAAATTACACGCTTGAAGTAATCCAAGGTCGACGACCTCATTTTTTGGCGTGTTTACACACGAGGTTAGCCAAGGCCAATGAAACCATTTTTACCCACGTGACGCGACTTTCCAAGGTCACCTCCACGTGTCGCACGTGCAATGGACCCTTTTTGGTGTAAATATACGACCACTAAGACCCGGTTGTATAATGTCAGTTTAAACTTCAGTTTATAGGTAGATAGAATTGGGTAGAATTGTGGGTTAAAGGATTTGATTGGCTAATATTTCACAAGTTGGCCAATCGTATTTCTCAAATCTGACATTGTACACAACCGGGCCTACAGGTGGGTTCATAGCTCTCCGTTCATCTGTTGCGTTGATCCGTCAAACGGATAGTACATTTTGTTAAGGTTCATAGCAATCCGTCCACAGTGTACATTTGCAACGTATAACCATAACCTAAATTTTATTTTGTACTGTACCCTCCGTGATTTTCAGTATGTAAAAATAGTACGAAAGTAAGAACACGTTGCTATCTGATTATTACCGTGAAGAACGAATAGGCGAACACTGTTAACGTACCCAACATAACCTCACTCTTGTTAAAAACCGACCAACGGAAACGTAAATGTTCAACTTCAACCAACTTTTCCGTCGTAAACGGACGACGTACGATTTAAAAATTTGCTGTCTTCTGATTGGCTAACGGACAAACGGAAACGTATGAATGGAGAGGTATGAACTTACCTTTAAGACTGTAGTCGAATCTGTTGGTAGGACGGAAAGATGGGGACCTTCTGATGTCCTCCCTCTGACAAAGGAACCCGGAAAGTCTCTCTAGTTAGGCTGGTGCGTTCCCCGTCTGATCCCACCATTGTCCCCAACGAGTTTCTCTTTTGAAAGGATCTTCCGTAGGCGAGAGGCTGTGGGAATTTCTTCTATCGTCTCACAGAATCTTTCCCAAGAGGCTCTTTTTGCCTTCCGAATCGCCTTACTGTACCCAGTGAGGGACGTTCTAGCGTTTCTATTTGTTGTAACCCGCTTCAGCGGACAGCTGTTCTCAGAGGAGGAGAGAAGGGTATCAGTGAATAGTGTGGCAAGTCGTTCTAGATCAACTTGATCGATCACCGTCATGCAGAGTCCTGCGGTGTTGCTTTTCAATAAGTCCTCGTACAATGTTTGGTTTATTTTGTTTCCCTACTATTACTTTCAACTAAAACATATTTGTCTGCGGATTGATAGAGCAAGACTCATCACAGACTCTCTATCACACTAATCTGCCTGCTGGGAAGGAGGAGGAAATTGTAACATCTAGGACTTCTTTCCTGTTTCTGGTTACAAATGTTGTCTGATTGCCCTGATTGAGTATCTCTAGTTCCTCTGACTATCTGGGAGTTGGCGTCACATTTGATAAGAAGATGCAGCACCTGCTCCTTACAGCATCTGCTCAGCCTTCGTACCTCCGGTGGCGGAGGCATTGCTGCCTCCTTCTCCCCAAAGCACACACTATTTTGCACCGGTGCTGATTGGCTCTTCGACCACTAAAGTCACTAGGTCTTTTGTTATGAACTCTGAATAAGGAAAGGGTTATTAGTTTCGGCTTTACGAAAACCGCTGCCCTGGGACAATTGTTGCCCCTTCAGAGTCTCTGCAGAATTAGCATAGGTAACCCTTGATAAGGGAGTTATCAAGCCACGGTTCCTGTATAAGGGCCACGTATAGATTGTCTTTGATGAACAGGGCGCTGAAGGTGTATAAGGGACGTCCCCTTTCGTAACCCTGCTGGTGTTTTTCACCTTTCGTTTCACTTTAATTGAGCCATGACTAGGCTTATTGCTCGTCTGGTTGGGCTTTCCTCAACTTCCCTTGGAGTCACCTTGGTGGGTGTTTTTAATGTTCTACCAGAGGCTTCTTTGGGTTTTGGTTTGGTCCGATTAGTTTTTTTTTGCCCGGCCTTGACCTTAAACCCCAATTGCGGATTGTCTAGATAACTGGGCGGTTGACAGACGACTAGTCAGGTATAGCTAAGTGTCTTGCAATTGGAGACTCCGGGGAAATTTTGAAGATGACGACGCGTTGGGGGCTGTTTTAGTGTCCTTACTGGCCAGGCACATTCGTCAATTTATGTAACTCTGTTTTTTTTTTTACAGAAAACGGAAAGTATCCATTTCTACTTCATACACTTAAATTTTAAGTACTTAATCCAAAATTGTTTGCCATTAAGATAATGCGTCGTCCGAAAATTGTTTACGTTGACTGATGCTCTACGCGATAAGTTTATCCTTCGTTTAAAACTGAATAAACTGTTGCAGCCCAAAGAACGACAAACAAATTGAATGGCGCTTCTTGAGCGTTATCAGAACCCTCAGACTACTTTTACCACTAATCGTCAGTTATTAATTAATTCCCTTTTGTGATTCTTGGTGTGCACTGGTTACATTTCCATGCATAAACTTGCTCTTTTACAGCACGCGAGGGTTACCACCCGGAAGGAAACGAGGCGGAAGATTCAACTGTAACAAAGGCGGTGCTCATAACAATGTCGGTGGCGACTGCGTACATAATCCTAGTCATTGGCCTCATGATATGGTGCCGCTACCGGCGCAGGTCCCGCAAGCTGCCCATAGCGGACGGTGCCAAAATCGAAAACGGCGACGTCGACCACACCGAACTGAAAGAGGCGCCGAACGGGGTCGCGCCCGGATCGTCGCAGCCCGACAAGGACGGCCTGAAAAACGCGCACAAGGAGGGCCAGAAGAGCGACGGCACGGAGACGGCGCACTCGCAGAGCTCCGCCCAGTCGAAAAAATCGAAATCGAGCTACGACAAGATCCTGCTCTCTCGATCGCACCTGAAAGACCTGAAGCTGATCGGGCGCGGCGAGTTTGGTGACATACTGATCGCCTTCTTGCCGAAGAGCGCAGTGCCAGTGAGCGACAAACGCGGCTCGAACGCAAGTTTGTCGGGCGAGGACAAGGATCTGACGGTGATGGTGAAGTCGCTCACGCACACCAAAGACGAGGCGGCCCTGACCGAATTTAAAAGGGAAATCGATCTCCTCTCCAAGGTGTCGCACGAGAACGTTGCGAAGTTGTGGGGGTTGTGTCGAGAGGTGGAGCCACATTACATGATCCTCGAGTATACAGATTGGGTAAGCAGATCAATTTTTAGTGCTAAAAAACACCCTTATTGAAATAAAAAATGTTCTAAAATAGTTATTGCAAAAATTAAGTTTCAAAAACAACAAAAAAAGTTTCAAATAAAAGTTGCAAGATTCGATGGAATAAATTCAATAGACGTAGAAAAACATTTTGCAAAATGGCGGTTTTTGAGATATTGACATCAATTTCTTTATTTTAAATGGACGCCATATTGGATTTGTACGTCATTAGACAGAGAAAAAAATTACAAAACCAGTGATACAAACATTTAATATTTCATTTGGGAATCCACCTTGCATTTTTGCCTTGAAGTTTACAATGTAACTATTTCTGATGGCAGTAATTCCCTGGTCGTGTCGATGGTGACTATGCGAGACAATTAATAAACGAATGAAATTGGTTTCAATCACAGTCAGCTATGGAACTATGACAAATACAAATGAAATACTGAGTATCGCTGGTTTTGTAATTTTTTCTCTGTCTAATGACGTACAAATCCAATATGGCGTCCATTTAAAATAAAGAAGTTGATGTCAATAACTCGAAAACCGCCATTTTGAAAATGTTTTTTCTACGTTCATTGAAATTATCCCATTGAATCTTGCAACTTTTATTAGTAAATTTCTTCGATAGCCCTCTTTGTTACTAAAATATTTACCTTTTTAAAAATAGCGATTGTCACTTTTTTCCAATGATCTACGAAACGATTTATTTTTTTCAAAATATCGCATCAGAATATTTACCAGCATCAAAAACTACACAACTTTCCGAATGTATAACAATAACGGTATCCTACTCAATTTAAGACACCCTATATATACTCGTCGATGGTTTATAAAGACTTTAGTAGTACAGTATGGCTGTATTAATTATGGATATTCTTGAAATCCAGATAAACATGGAGGCGGAAAAAGCGGATGGGACGCATCCTTTCCGGGAAATACGATATGATTGATTCGAGAATATTCGGTTAACCGCACAAAATTGCATACTTCCCAATATATTTAAAACTTTGCGGAATCGAAATTTTGCCGCGGGATTGCATTCCCTACTTATAACCTTGGTCTTCGTGCGGAATTTTCAAACGTACAATTGAGATTCGAGATCCGTCACAGCTTTAGATGTCGTAGTTAGTTTGGTTACCATTCATGCGATTGTCTCTTAACGGCGAAAGGTGTTAGTTTACATACCAGCCCATGCCCCATACAAACATCAAAAAATTGTATAATTTTCATATAATTATTTAAATGAATAACCATAACCATAAATTCAGCAAACATTTACACCAAAAATGAAAAGGATTTCAAACAATAAAATTTAATAGACATCAATCGATCAAATTTTAGGGCGACCTGAAACAATTTCTGACAGCAACCCGAAAGGGTACATCTCAGAGCCTAACACCGGTACAATCCGTCGCCGTAATTCACCATCTGGCGAGAGGCATGGAGCACCTGTCGGCGGCACGATTCGTCCATCGAGATCTGGCCGCGCGAAATTGCCTAATCACGTCAACGCTGACCGCCAAAGTCGCCCTACCGCGGCTCACCAAGGAACCTTATAGCCAAGAATATTGCAAGCATATCAATAACGTACGTTTTACCAATTTAGTTTGCACTTTTTTTCGCCACGTATTCCTTTTAGATCATACCGCTGCGGTGGTTGCCCTACGAGGCGGTTTACGAGGACGAATACTCGACGAAGAGTGACGTTTACGCTTTCGCGGTTGTCATTTTGGAGGTGTTCAGTCAGGGCGAACTTCCCTTTCCGAAAATTAACGATACCACGTTCCTGGCAAAGCTCAAGGAGAAAGCGCTCGATTGGAAATCGCACAAGAATACACCTGATGATCTTCAAAAACTACAAGTACTGCTGTCATCTACCGTCGCCTACCTATACTAATCGTTGTAACTTTTGCAGGAAACATGTTGGAATATAAACCCGCAGGAGAGGCCGTCGTTTGAAGATCTGGTAAAAGAAACTGAAAAAATTCTAAAGTCAATGTAAATAGTTTTATGTATAGCTCAGGCGTAAACCAAATTTTAACTATTAGATTATAGAGACACTTTAGAGCAATATGTTAAAATGATGAGAGAGAGAGAGAGAAGAAAACGCTTCCATTATAAAAAAAATTGCCCGCCTTACTTGCAAAGAATTTATCGTGTGTTCGAGTCGAATGTCTGTCCCTTTTCTACTCCCAATGCTTGTACTTATTTATTTATAGTTTTCTAATAAATGAGAGAGATTAGCATTAGTTGTACATATCTCTAGTTTTTAATGTAAAAAAAAGAAGCATATCAATTGCGACAAACCATCTTCGTTAACGAAACCAATTCTGTACATTAATTATTTGAGCCACCACACACTGCCAAATGAAAGAAGATGAATCGATGTTTCAAAATGGTGTCATTTTGAGATGTGTGTGAGAAATCAATGTATGGAGATCTCCAGATATATTTAAGCTTTGCGTTGTAGCTTTATACACGTACAATTGTGCACTTATGTGTATAGTATTATTAATTATTAATGAAATTTAGGTAAGTATATAGAACGAATGTAATTCTGATAAAGCTTCTATGAGGAATGTACGACAAAACCGTGATGTAATCTATCCTTCATATTGTAACTATTTATTATACATCATACTTATATAATAGAGTTAAACTTAGTATAATATTTAGGAGTTTTTAATAATGTTAGATATTACTGACTGTTCATACTATGAAGATGAGATAAAAATGTCTGTCCATATTAGGGATGTAGCTTTTTATAATAATTTTGTACTTTTTGTACTGTATTGTCCACTTTTATATAATTATGCATAATCATAACTTGTGATACATATACTGAATACAAATATATGAATGTGTGTGCCTCTCTTTGACCCAACAAACCTGCAATAGCCTTAAGTCATAAGAAAAGCCCGAATTTTTTAAAGTCACTCTGAATTCGAGATGTTTCCATTGAAAGGAAATTAATTATTTCAGTTACTTTTATAACCCAAAAGTTGGTTTCTTTTTATTTAGGTAAAGTAAGGAAGCTGAACGGGAATTAGCTACCTATATAAAGTAATAATCTCGTGGAATTTTATTTCGTGTAGTATATTTGGGACGAGTAAATGAGTTGAATACGTATTTCGTTACCGAATATTGAATGCCAGAAAGCTTATGAAAGCGCAGAGGTAAGTATTTATACATCGGTGAAAGCGCTTATTTTGTCAAAGCTGAAAATTGTGGTACCTATAAATATGAGTTAAAATAAGGGCAAAAGTCCTGACCAGCCCACCATTCTTTCATCACTAACGCCATTGCTATTTCATCTGTATTAAATTAAAATAGACCTCGCTTTATTGACTGATTGATTAATTGATTGTCGAAAAGAAGCATTCGTCAAGCGACCGTTTGCAGAGCGCGTCGTGAACGGAGAGAGCACTTCCTGGGGTAGGCTCGACGAAGACCCCGCCACTGTCTTCACGAGCCAGTTCGTCTGACCCTTAGTTTCCCCTTATTCCGCAGTGAGCTGGGACTCAGATTAAACTTACTCCACTGCACTCACCTAATCTATCTACACGTCGTCGCCTGTAATCTAGCGTCGTAGCCGATCGGAACCTTCCTTCTGACAGGGCACTACACATACCTACGCTAACCTCTACAGAGGTTCTCCTGTGCACAGGTCATGATAGCTAACATCTCCCCTCAAGTTTTTACTACAGTGTCAAGCCAATAATATACCAATAAGACTGTTCCTCGACCATATCTCGGGAACCGTTCGTCGACTTAGGGGTAAAAATTTTTTTGGGTAAATCGGTCATGAAGAATCGCTGGAAAATATTTTCAAGTTCTAAAAATGACCACCAGAGGGCGTAACTGCCATCTTAAATATGTTAAAATTGCATTTTCTTTAAATTTCCCATAATAAACTAAAACTTGTTTTTACATTTTTAAAAAGATGTAATGATCTTAGCCTCCTTCTATCTTGCCGGGCTAACGCCAACTTCAAGTCACACCGGAATATTTGACCATATTCTGTAGTAGCGGGAATGCCAAACTAACATGGCTGTCTATTTGAATATTCTCGCTTAAGTTTCCCGCGAGAATCTGTCACTCGGGGACACTCGAAGTGCACTAAGATCGTGATCGTCATGTAGGACACCTAAGTTGTGTAGTAACTGGGTTCTCAGCAGGCACTGAGGGCGTTTTATGGGTAAAAAAAAATAAAAAAAATCAAATGGAATGGTATGACTTTTTCTTTATAAAAAAGTAACAAAATAACATCCAAAGAGGCCAGTGAAAACCGTTTTTCAAAATCTCGTACTTTGCGTTGCCGCTCTTACGTTCTGGGATAATTGTTTCAAATTTGATACATCAATTATTTTTTAGGATCTCTACAATTTCAAAATAGTTAGTTGCATATGGTTACATTTTTCTTATTTTGACGAGTACTATCACCCCCTGAAATATCTGCATGACACGGATCATCGGGGTTCTACTGTAATACAAATGGGAGTTACAGATCACACCAATTTCACCAGTACATAAAACCACTCTGTCCTAACTTGCAGGCAGTTAACTTAATCCTACCTCACTTCCATGCGCGAATTCTATTTTCACAAATAAAACACACCCCACGGTAATTTTCAGGGTGTCGAGTTACTTCGTTCGCGGCTTAACGCGTATGACCTGACGGTTATCTCAGAACAACCAACTTTACTTTTATAGGTCGACACCTATCCCTCGACACATATCTTTTACATCACAATCAACAAATTTCACAGCGATTTCTCTTGACCCATTTTGATAAAAATTTTTTCCCGAAGCTGTGCAATTAACGGTTCCATAAATATGACCTGTGACCATTATTAATGGGACATCCTGTATATACTTTTTTCTACGGACCATATAAAAAAATAGAGTTGATGATGACTTTGAATATAAAATTTTATATTCAAAGATGATGATTTCTCGCAACGCCATCTTGTGGATCTGAAATACTGGCAATGAGAAAGTGTTTTTTTTTTGTATCTGCATAACATCAGAATTAGAGAAAATAAAGTCGAAATCGGCAGATTGTTGTTTTTCTGATATATCTTCGAAAGTAATCGGAATTTTCTGGTGTTCGTAACAACTTCTTTAGTTGCAGGTAGGTAACTACAGTTGGCACATGAACAGTTGCGTGTTTGGCGGCATTTCCTTATTAAGCGGCAGAGCAAAGCGATGCAAGCTTTTTAGGGGAGTCGATGGTGTCCGTCTGTCCGTGAACACGATAACTGTCAAACGCTTGGACCGATTTGGTTGAAACTGTGCACAGTTGACCTATATGCTACAAGTAATAAGCCTACTGAAAATGGGTCAAATCCAATGACTCCGTGGGGTCACACCGAGGTGGCCTGCCGCTTTTTTTAGACTCTCTTTATGGGTTTATTTTTTCTTCTAAACGAAATTTTCTTCCTGGTTATTTTTACGTTTATGATTCCTAAATTTTGGTGGACGTAGGATTCTGTGTGTTTTAGTTAATTGAAATAGGCAAAATATATCACTTACCTGTCGTCGTTCAATTGCTATTTTTTTCTTTTTTTCTTTTCTGATACAAGGAGAATATGGCGAGGGAAAGGAAGAAAACAGGATGGAGAAGATTTAATTAATTGACAGATAAGCGAATGCCCAACACTACCAATGACGACGCCAAAAAAGACCAAGACACCTCACACGCAATAGCACTTTACCAACAACAACTATTGAATTGAAAAATGTTATCAATAATGTATCACAATTTCCCAAACTAAAAATTAAATCAACGCATACTCCATCTACACAAAAATGAAAATAATACTATTTGAAACTGAAATTTAATCATCGGCATCAACATTCCCCCCGGGATGAAGGTTGCATTCAGGCTTCAGAAAGCTACACAAAAATAACTATAAAGTTCATGAGACAAATTAATGAAATATCCAAAATTAATATCCAATTAAATTTAACGTTAAATAATAAAAAAAATAAAAAAAACTATTGTGAAGGCAAGGGGCAAACCTTAATAACTGGTCTGCGATAAGTACCATATTTGGTACGGACGTCTACAACTCGTACGACTTGATCTTTTCCAGGATACATCTTTTCTATAATCCCTAAGGGCCATTGCAATGGTGGAGTATTTGGCTGTTCTACTACAACAATGGTGCCAATTTGCACGGGGTTATGTTCTGTGTTCCATTGCGATCGTACCTGTAGAGTTGTGAGGTATTCTAATTTCCACCTTTTCCAAAAAACGTGTATCATCCGATCGATGAGTTGAAACCGATCTAATCTGCTAATATTAATATTACTATAGTCGTATGCCGGAAAATGCGTCAAAGGGCCTAAGGTTAAAAAATGCGCTGGAGTCAAAATGGTGGGTTCAGACGGATCAGAACTAAGAACGTATTGACGAAAAGATCAGAAGATAGATATTTTTACGTGGAAGACCGTCGACCAATCACAAGTCTTCTTGTATACGACAGTACTGTTACACATTCGCTTTCTGTGCCTTTTTTCTCTTCCCATAATATTCCTTTCAACTCCCAGCATCCCAGCTCAATTTTCGCCTATGCCTACTCTTTCTTCGAATTTTGCTACAACCTCTGTCTCTTGCTTCCGTTACCTTGAGAATGATGGTGTCTTCCTGTTTCTTCATATTGATTCTGTCTCTGCCTTTGCCTCTGCATCTGATTATTCTTTTACTTCTGCTTCTTGGTATTAGGTTATGCGTAGTACCTACATCTAAAGCAAATACGAGGGATTTAGTTAAAGTAGGTTATTCTAAAGTCGGATGGACGAGCTGCATTGCTAGAGTGTAACAGAACATAAAAGTACCTACAACCTTTTATTTTGTTTGATGGTCACTGTAATTTTTGGTTAGAGACCACTGTAACTCTAGGTACATTTAAATGACCTAGTAAGTGACTTACATGTAGGGTGGCACCACGTAACTACGGGTATGGTGGCGCCATCCATTGGTAGAGAACTGACACGTGCATAGGTCCAGTCTGGTTTCACACCGAAGAGGACATGGTCACACAAGTTATCGTCTACTACCGAACATTTCAATGGGACACGCTGGAACATCC